GTGGGTTCAACACACACAAGGATAGTAATCTTCCTTTTCTATTATTTTGTGTGCTTGTTTCATCCTAATGCAGTGCATGCAATGAAAGAGTTCATTTCTGTGTCTCTTCTTTGTGCAGGCCATTCATTGAAGTCAGTGATATTGAAGACTGGCAAGGACAGTCATCTTCCTTCTGTAAGTAGCTGTCTTTATTGTTTTGTGTGCTTGTTTCATCCTAATGCAGTGCATGCAATGAAAGAGTTCATTTTTGTGTCTCTTCTTTGTGCAGGCCATTCATTGGAGTCAGTGATATTGAAGACTGGCAAGGACAGTCATCTTCCTTCTGTAAGTAGCTCTTTTATTGTTTTGTGTATTTATTTTAATCCTATTTACGTAGTAAATATGTAAAATAATAAATTTCCTTTTTTATATCTTTTTGTAGATCATCCATTGGGGCAAAGAATTAAGTGACATCGTCTTGACCACTTCCACCTGGTCACATGACTGCCAAGCCACTCCCATCCGGTCACATGACTGCCAAGCCACTCCCATCCAGTCACATGACTGCCAAGCCACTCCCACCCAGTCACATGGCTGGGAAGCCACTCCAACCCAGTTACATGGCCAGCAAGCCACTCCCACCCATCAAATGGCTGGCAAGCCACCCCACAAAGCAGGCCACGCCTACAGAAGAGGTTCCAAAAATGTTTGAAACCCACCATTGCATGCTCTTTTGGGTTGGGAAAGTAATTAATAATTATATCTTCAAAAATAGTTTAAAAAGATGCTGACTTTTTATATCCTTATTCCAAAGAGATTTAAATTAGAGACATACTATCCAAAATAGATGAAACCTATTTGTAATTCAATCTCTTCTTTATTAGATAGTGTCTAACTATCATAGAGATTTCTTAAACTAGTTATTTACTATTTATTATCCTGTTTTTGCTATTTTTATAAATAAGTCAAGGCAGTGGATATACCTTCCTCCTTCTACCTTTTCCACACCTGGAAGGTGTGTTGGACTGAAAGAGATTGACTATCCCAAAATCACCCAGCTGGCATTAGGCATTATGGGCTCTGAAGACTCTCCAAGGTTTCAATTTTACTGCCCTGTTTATAGAATCCTGAGTATACAAGTAAAGATGCCAAAAGAGAGAATCCCTCTTTCAAACCTGAACTATTGCACAATTCTGTGTATCTTCTATCAGACATTATTATTAAAGATACCAAATAAATTGAGATGTAACACTGGCTCATAATATATTTCCTATCCAATTATATATATTGTGATCAATTTATTAACATGTGATTATCATGTTTAACTTGTATTTTTAATTAATTTTTCAATTTAGCCAGATATTTTATCAAATGAAAACAGCCTAACCAAATCCAATGATATCAAGAATAGAAAGCAATTAAGCTACATTGATGGAAACAAAAAGGCCAATCTGGTCAAAAATCCTTATATATTACCTTATATAGCTTATCACTATTATGAACATTTCTAGACTGTGATAAGCATTTCTTATATGTTCTAAATAGTGAATAAGCATTCTGATGTTTTTCAGTTGGTTTTCCCAATAATCCTGGATTTATCTGAAATTGGAAAATAATTCTTAAGTATTCTTATGTAGAAGTGTAAACTCTCTTAATTAACCCTTGATTTCCCAAAAGCCACCAAATCCTATAGCATCAGGTACTAATCTGGAGAGAATATAAATCTCTTATACTCTTGATATTGTCAAAATATTGGTACTAGTAAATATAGTTTAAAAGGCAGAATTGGATAGTGAAGAGATTGGGGTAAGAAAAGTGGATGGCATGTAGGCTTCCTATCAATGTGGTTGCTGAATCTACCTGATGGTACAAATCATGACCAATAGGATGTGGTCGCTGACAGATGATTTCCTAACATTTTGGAAAACAGCTAAGTCAGAGTTGAAAGTAGAACAGAAAGAGAGAATGCAACTTCTTCAACATCCCATTTTCATGACTTTCAATCCTTCTGCTGTTTCTGCTGCTTTCTCTTTGCTCATTTAGTTATTCAAGTTGTTCTTACCTAGACTGGCAACATAGATGGCATTCTAATACAACTTCTTAGCACTAATATGACTCTGGTCCATGCAGAAGTATAATGGAAATGATGTGCATTAGGATTCACATCATTTCCTGGACCTTTTAATTGTAGCTAGATGGAATAACTATCGGTTTTGAGTTGTTTTTTCTTTCATTGACCTTATAGGGCAAATCTTATCCCTTCAAGGGGCCTTTCCCTCCAATATGGAATCCCATTACTTATTTAGACTACAACAATCTATGGAGGACACTGGATGAAATGGGGAAAGAGGTAAGATTTGGACAAATTGCAACTTGAGATATGGATATAATTGTTTAGTCAAAAAGCTGGCTGGGGAATTCTGGAAGCTGAAGTCTATACATCTTAAAGTTACTGAGGAGTTATTTTTTAATTTGAACATCAACAGAACTATGGAAAGCAGCCTGTTCTCCAGAACGCAGGTCTGTTACCATTCACCTGTTCTACTTCCAAGATACCTCTGTCCCTCCATGGGGAAAAGGGGTCAATTTTTCTTTTACTTATGAGAGCATGAATGAACCAGGCCCAATTTCCTAAACAGCCCAATTTCAAAACTATTATTTATAGTACTAAGTCATGTTTCATTAGATAAACAACAAATATTTATTTAGTTTATTAGTTAAATTTAATTAATTAGATTTAAAATATTCATAATTTATGTGAGGATTTCCTGTTTTATCCCCACAAAAAGCAACTCTATGAAATAGGCTGCATGGTCAAGGCGTGATCTTTGGTTAGCAAAAACTTCAAAATATGCATTCATGCAACTCATCTATTATACCAGGCCAGAGCAAAATATCTTCCTCTATTAAAACCCTGTAACATAAGTGACAGAATTGTTATAAAAGCTGACCAATTTAAAACAATTCAAGAAAGTCTTTAATTTTGAAGAGCAATCATTCCATTGTTGTAGTCTGTGGAAAAAGCCTTGGAATCTAATAAAAAGATTGGTTGTTTTTTAAACTGTTGCATGATCATCTATGTGTTATGGTTTTTCTTTTCACGTGTGTCCTTTCCTTTCCTAGATTCCTAATGAAGCTCCATGGAAAGCACCACGTGCAGAGGAATGGGACAAAATTACCATGGAACAGTTGCTAGATAAAGTGTGCTGGACGAAGTGAGAAGTAATTTTATATTGTATACCATGTCTATGCGATAGAAGATAATAGTATCTAAAACAAGTATTCCATTTTGAAAGATAGAAAGAATCTTAGGTAGAAATAATGCTATCCCTCATAGAAAATGAATCAGTCGATTTTATTTTACAATTAAATGGTCTGATGACATAATTTGCACACTAAAGTTTAGGTATTTAGATCTGTAAAATACAGAGAGTTTATGCATACATACATACGTACTGTACATACTCCTTCTGATATTTAAGGCAGGTGATTATTTTTCTTCATGAGATCATTTTGAAGCCAAAATCTGCATAAATCTCATTTTCTAAAGTAGTTTCTTTGGAAATCATCATCAATATCATCATCTTGCCTAGATTAAACTCTGGGAAAGCTCTTGACAAGAGCCTCCAACAGCAAGGAGGTGTTTCATATAGCAATGCTAAAATAAAAAGTCTGCATTAGCAGCAAATTATAGTTGCTTATTTAAAAGTAAGTACTGTGGACTCTGTAAAACCTGTCACAAATTGGCACGTGAAGACTTACGTTGTTATAAACTTCTGCTAATGCTTTAAAGAATAACTAGGATACAATGTTTTTCTTTATATTTATTAAAACATATATTGTGCTAGATAGTATGAAACAAAGAAGTAACAATTCCAATATCAGCTATTTTGAGGAACAAATTGAAAGAAATCCAAAATGATGAGAAATAATAAATGTAGGAAGAACAGGCTGATGGTCAGGCTACTAGAAAAAATCTATTAGAGAACTCCTGATGCTCCTGTAAATAAAATAATTGTTCTTTGTTATGAAATAAACAATTTTTCATCTCAAAATGAAATCAATTCCACAACTCCATTGAGAAAAACCTCTGTCCCATGTAAACCACTTAACAATGTTAAAGTTGTTTTAAGTGCCTTAAATATGCCTCAAATAACAAGAGAAAAAGCAGATTGATAGGATATTAGTACTCTGGCCTCTCCTAGCAGTGGGCATGATTCCCAGTAAATATCATCCAGGGAATGTGGCCCTCAACAGAAGACCTATCTCTAAAAGTAATTAGCAGCTGTTTATATTGAATCCTAGACAAAAATGATGCTAATGCTTTAGATAGCATGGACCCAGAAGGGAAAGTGGTGCTTTCAAATATTTTGGACTATGGCACTTACAATTCATTGCCCTTAGCCATATTTTGAGTGTGATAAGAACTGAAGTCTTAAATTTATGGAAGGCACTAACTATATCTCTTTGATTTTCTTTTGCCCAGTGCAGTTGTTTGGATTGTCAAACTCTTTACTCTACATCAAATATACCACATTAATCAAAACTGGATACAATAAATCAATCTTAACATTTACATTTGTTCTTTGTAGCATTTAATACTTATGTTTATAGTGAGCGTTCCTAAGATAAGGGTGAGAGACATAGTTTTGTTCCATCTTCTAAATTACAGAGGAAATCTGAAATCCCATTTTGTCCTCCACTATCTTGTGCAGAGAGCACACATAACTTTTGCATAAGTTTAAAATAAGTTTAACATGGTTTTTAAAAAGAAAGGCGCACACTACCATCACCTCAAATAGAAAACTTTCCCAGTCAGGTCCAACTCATCTCATGTCATCATCGCCATGCCACTACATCCCTTAATTCTTCCCAGAATTATGAAATGCGGCATGCCCATGTTTGCCTTGAATATTGGCTACTGAAATTAGAGAGGTTCCCAGAGCAGTAATTCAACTTGGAAAATATAAGTATAGCATATGGTTTACTGATAAAACAGATTTTCCCAGTCATTGGGAAAGTCAGTTATGCCACCATCCAATTATTGGGGGTCACAGGGTCAAACTCATCCCAGATGGTCCCAGATGGTCTCCATAAGATTCATCCCCGCTGACTCACCTGAATCTACCCAGTCAGAGTCCAAGCCTGTCTGGATCTGAGCGATTTTATCCTGCAGATACTGAACAAATTCTTCAGCCCTATCCTGCAAGGGGTCTTAACCCAGTCCCTTGGTTAAGTAAGGAGCAGTCACTCTAAACAGGACAGCTGGGCAGTTATCTGCGGACGCAATACGAGTGGAAAAATATTGCCGTTTTGCCGCTTTTATCACCACTACGTAGGATTTAATATGGATTCTTATTAGTGTTTTAGTGTCTAATCAGATTTGGATCAGCTGACCCTCCAACCACTCTCATCTCCTGGAGCTCCTCGGTAAACCAGGAAGCTACCCAGGATTGACACCGGGTCAGAGGCCACAAAGGCACAACACGATCCAAGGCCCCAGTGGCTGCCCTATCCCAGGCTTCCACTAGGGTTTCGGTTGAGTTGTGAGCAAGAGATTC